CATAAAACCGACACCGTGCGAAGCGCTGTGGATATGTTGATTTTCAGATTTTTGGGGCATAGGCTAGTGGCATCTCTGATTAATGATACATATACATGTATATATCCTAGGGTCATTCAAGTACTTGTACATGTATGATGAACTGCATGTACATTACGTACGTATTATGTTCAGGTGATTGGCTTTGAGCTGAATAACTTTTGCTTTGCCTTCATGTATGCACAGCAATTTGATTCTGTGATCAGTGCCATTGAGCAAGGAGAGGAAGTGGATTTAAGTGGCATGCCTCCACCACCCTCATCAGCTTTACAAGGTCAGTACACAATTCCCCTCAAGTCTCCTTAATGTCTATCACACAATGTGTACGTTCATTTTACACTGTACAGTTGATTCTCGTTATTAAGAGGGCCTTGGGACTTACTAAATTAGCGTGTATTAACCAGACTTCATCTTACGCGAAAGCTGCCGTCCTGCTCAACATAATCACCAATCGACCATAGGTAAAGCTTACATGTGTACAAGTATGCATAACTTGGTTTAACGCTTTCTCATTGGTAAGCGGTAAGAGACGCCGTAAAAATTGAGATCCTCAGCCCGCTTTTCAGCTATTATTCTCAGCCCACGTCGAGCGAACACGGTGAAAGAAGGCAGACCCTGGCTCTTGTATATATGGTGATTGGCCTTTGTGTGTTGCCAAGAAATGAAAAGGCCGAATTTGCATCATAATCACTTGCTTCACAATAGTCCCCACTTTGAAAAGAGGCAACAGGAATGTGGAAGCATGAGTAGAGCCGTATGCCATTGAACAATGAGCCTTTTCACCATGTAATTCAAAGCGTCCATAGCACGCAGGGCCACAAACTGAGAATTTGCGGTTTGGCAGGTGGCCTTCGTGGCCAAGCGAGGCTGGAATTCTCGTAGTCGGCTTTCAGAAAAAAGTCCCGGCGTTAAGGGGTTAAAGGCTCGTACTGTTTGTTAAATAAATTTCAAAAAGTTGTTTATGAAAGTGAGATACAGTTTAATGCATAAAGACTTGTAATAAAGAATAGTTATAAAATGTAAGAACGGAGGAAGCGGAATTTCCACCAGTCATGTCAGTTGGGAGCGACACATCCCTGTACATCCATATGTACGTAATGTAAGTACATTAACATCTTAGTTGGTAACTAACACCAGAGCTGCGCATGGTGCACGTAAGAATGGGAGGAAACCAGCTATTGCTGGTGTGGACAGCAGAGGAGGAATATCGGATTTTACTTTAGAAAGGCGTGTGGGTCTTGTGAAAAATTATTAGCGAGGGATACACTTTTTTCTTCAAAACTTGTTGTTATTTTCATAAATATTTTTGGACTAAAAACCATGGTTTAGTCAGGATTTTCTTAAATTTAGAATTAATAGAAATGTCAAAATCAGAAGGAGTGATATTTTCTTGTTACGATGGGGAGCAAGTAACAATTTTTTGACGCGGGTGGGCAGGTTTTTGGGCCGGATGTTTGGTTACGGAACACGATTTTTATTAGTTTCCTGGGGGACTTTGGTCTTGGGGAATTTTGGGGGGCGGGGGAATCAAACGAAAGATTTCTTTTGTTCAACACTGGCCTAAATACCGTAGCACTTTTGGTGGCACTCGCTTGTGTTCAGGTGGTAGGAGAGCCGCCACACAGGATTTCTGTGTTGGGTACCGGACTGCAAATGCCCACTGTTTGTTTCTCTTGCAATACCGGACACAAACGGCTTGATTCGGTGAGGGAAATTCGCAGCGCTGTTCTACTGTACACGCATGAATTACAGAGGCGCCTTTCAAAATTGAATGGTCTGGCTGATTGACAAGTTACCTTCAAAAAAGCTTGTGCTAAAAAGACAGATAACAATAGATTTGCACTCAGCCGGTGCGCAAAAAAAGGCTTGTCTTAACCGAAATTTCGTAACATTCAAGCTCATATTAGGCATTTTTTCCCTCATAGGAATGTGCACAATTCAGTCTGGACTGGCAAATATGCTCATCTGAACCGGAGTCTTGTCTTACCCAAGCTCATATTTACAAGAGTCGATTGTATTTGGTTTGTTACTGATCTGTAACTGATTACGGTAATACTGTAATTTTCAGAATATAAATAGGTTGATTCTCACTCTGAAAAGTGTCCCTGGGGCTTATATTCCTGGCGGCTTGCACGGCAACATTTGATAAATGAAATCAGTCACTAATTGCTGTTCCAGCCAGTCATGAAAACAGCACGGCACTCCGGGGATAAGACAGTCATGTTTTCATTGGTTGCTATATGTTTGCTCTACTCACGTGTTGTAAATAACCAGTGCAGAGGCACTGAATAGAATTGCAAATGGACTTACTGTAAGTACCATTCACACCTCACAAATCATTTGATGTGTGTGTTCATTTCTGTCTGGTTTATGGTTGTGTAATCTATGGTGTTTATTATTTCACTAGTCATTTGGTGACTGTTAAAAAAGAACAAAAAGAACTGCTACATGGCCCACCCAGCAAAGACACTAATCCAGCCCGCCAAAATTGGTAATTTTGAGGTCTTGGGAAAGTTTAGGTTTAACCACTTCCTGCCGGGGACTCCAGTTTTGGGCACCGTGTGTTTATACGCAGAGCTAGGGTGCCCGGTTTCGGACAAAAGAGCTGGTTTGTGTAACAAAAGACTGTACTCGGAACAAAGGACCTGCTGCTGGGAATTGCCATCATTTTTCGACTTCCATTTTTCGAAGGTAATGCAGCACTGTTTTGAAACACTAAACCATAGCGCGCCCGCAGAGTAGCACCGTGGACAAAAGTGCTTAAGGGCCCCACTGATGAGCGACACAGCACCGCTGCTCGCTAATCCAGCTGCGTATGGAAAGACGCTACTGGTATTCACTGGAAAAAAGGAAATTACCCAACACCACACAATTCTGGGCTTTCTTTTATACAGGGCTGCAGGGCTCGGCTGAATACTTGGGTATCAGTGAAGGTTGCCTGTCAGATTAGAGTAGCCACCAGAGAGTCGTTCGTGTGGGTGTAAATGTCCGGTAAATGAACACATGAATTTTTGAAGAATTTTGAAAACGGACAATCTTGAAAAAGTCCCGCCATCACATCCCACTCAAGATAAATCCACCGGCAGGAAGTGGTTAATCGCAACACTCCTTTGCACACTGCTTACACTTGAAGATTACGTACCCAAAAGTGGCACGGACCCTAACGTTGGGCACTTGGAATTGTTGCCTCTAATGCTGGTGTGTTATTGGAGCATTATTTACCAGCAATTTCAGAAAGGGTAAATGCAATCAAACTCCAAATATTCTGATTCATAAATGTCTATTTCATTTACCTGCTTCAAAGTTCCGCTGACATTTTATTTTGGCCCAATTTTCTGATTTTTTTCTGATTTGCTAAATGAAATCTCAAAATGCACCCCAAATTAAGTTTTAACAATTTTTTGTTGGGCATGTGAGTGGAGGTAATTATGATTTACTAGAATTTATCAATTTTAAAGAACTTCTGAAATGTTTTTATGGGATTTTGTGAGACTGTTTTAAGGTTGCCAGGTTAGGGGACACTCAGCTGAATTCTTGCCAAATTACCAGATGCTGATGTGTTTAAATTTTGGATGAAATTCCTTGACACAGAAATTGCTCACAAAGGTTCAGAAGCCTGTATCATGAAGGCAGTGCAGCCATTTGCAAAGTTTAGGACCACCTTTATGAAAATGCATCAGCCTGAAGAAAAACCAAACCTAAACCAACCAATCATGGCAACTGATGTTCACCTTCAATGTGTAACCTTATTGTCTTAGTTAACAGCTATTTGACTATATTTCCATGAACAGACTAATATTTAGTGTGACCTTTTTTATTTATGATTACTTAGACTGGCTTTTTGTACCTTTGCTACCTTACAGACATAATGTCATACAAGAATTGCCTTTGCAACAAAATTCATGCAAATGGGCTCATTACACGACTCCGAGGTTATCACCACTGTAAAAAATCTTATGTAATCATTCAATGAAACAATGTCATGCAGGCCCAGTGACAGAAATTCCAGGTGGTCTTAAATTTTTGCAAATGACTGTAGTACCAGTATTTAACCAAGTGGATTTGAAGTTTTTCAACAAAGGTTGGGCAGCACTTTATGTAGAAAGTCCGATGAATGTTGAAGTGTGCCACATTATACTCTACATGTACAAGGGCTTCAGCAGTGCAGCACGTGCGATGACTTATGTGGTTAGACATCATTGGCTCCGCAGTGTAGCTTGCACGCCGTGTGGCAAATACGTCGACTTTAAATCTTAATTTGCAGATTTTTGCTTGGTGCAGCTTATACTCAGCGCGGCCTGTATTCCAAAAATTATGGTACGCCAACTTTGGCACTGCATCCACTTCTAATGGATTCATTTCCATACTGCAAGTGGATGCAGTTTGTTGCAACTTTGTCATACTAATGAATCAGATAACAAGTGTTTCAATGATGTAATGAAGTTATCCCCTGTCAATCACAACTCATATCATAAAAATTGGGATGACTTGTAATGAAATGATGACAACACTGAAGTATGTCGTGTGATTCTTCCCTCTTTGACATTGGTTGTTTCCTTACTTTCTTCTTATTCAATAGTAAATTAAAATAAAGTTCTTAACCAATTGCATCAGTGACTACTTTAAGGAAAGAGGTACACAAACACAAAGTCATGTATCAACTGAATATACAGGTAAGCAGCCTCTGTTTCTCATAGGTACATCTGCATTAGTCCCTCCACCCAAACAGCAGAAGATACAAGCACCTGTCATTGATGTGGTTGCACCAGGAGGACAGAGTGAAGCCACAGCATCAGATGCAGAGCCTTCTATGCCTAGTACACCACTGGAGGCCTTACAGCAACGACATGATACGTACAAGGCACTGCTAGATAAAGCCACAACAGAAGGCAATGCCAGCAAGTGTAGGAGATTGGGAAGGATTGTCAAGGCATGCCACCTCTTTTGTCAGGCTCATTTAAGTTGAATGGATAAGATATTTACTACGCATTATCAAGAAATCTACCTGGTTTACTTTTTTAACAGTGGTAATGGACCTTTCCCATGAAATATGCAAATTAGGCAGGTGCATGCGTACCACTACTGCTTGTTGGCAACCATGGCCATGAACATTGTCAGCAGTGTAGGAGAGCTGCTGTAACTATAACCTGGCACATTGAAGGTCAATCAAAACAGTATTACAGCCTTTGTCCGATACTTCTGCACACTTTTTTTGAAACTAAGTGAAATTTTCAGTGTCCTGAGGTTGGAAAGTAACAATTCCTTGTCTTTAAGTTTGACGCTCATGTCAAACTATACTTGCACAGAAAGGACTTGTACGTGCTCATAGTTGTATGCGCATGGAGATTTGTATTGTTATGTCATAGATTTAAGCAACTTTGCCAACCAATGGTAGTTATTTGCGTGCACCTGCCTTATTTGCATATTTCATGGAAAATGTCCATTACCTTTTCTAGTTTCTACGATAGAATTTAGGAATACACTGTATGTTAGTATTTATCAGCACAAGGGTATACATATTGTACCTTACAATAGATTTAGGTCAAAGATGATTTGTTCTTAATGAGTTTATGGACAGTCAGATAGGAGGTTCATTCTATATAACATATCTCAAAATTTGTCAAGATGGGAAGCAGCCTTTGGCTCTGATGAAAAATTTTATATTAAATTACCCATGATATTCACTACTTGTTCACTACTTGATAGTCCAAATCTTTCCTTAGTTTTGTGAGCTGGTTAATATATATATTGTGCAATTTTTGTAAAATATCAGAACTATCAGGAGGCCATCAAGAAGGAAAGGGCCGGTAAACCTGTTGATTATGAGGAGCTTGCGACTTTGCCTGGATTTTCACCTATCCCACCAAGAGGGAGCATTTCCAAGTCCCAAGGTCAGCCATCCCCAGGTCAGCCATCCCCAGGTCAGCCGTCCCCAGGTCAGCCATCCCCAGGTCAGCCATCCCCAGGTCAGCCATCCCCAGGTCAGCCATCTGGTGCATCATCTCAGCCAGCTACAGCTGCTGCATCAGCCAGGCCTGCTCTTACAAGACCCCCCTCAGGTGCATGCCCAGAATAATGAGTGCATAGTCTTAGAAATCTAGAATTCCTGTCAGCTCAACATTTGAAGGTCTAATTAGCCTTTCTGTCCATACTGCATTACATTGCTGTTGTGTCCAGATACATTATCAGGTTGTCTTTCATACTTCAGTCTTCAAACTGCAATTTTTCTGTCCAAACATGCCTAGAAATATTTGGGATACTTGTACTTGGATTTGTTTAACAATCATTGGAGCTGAGTGCTTTTGGGAATCTGGCTCCATGTATATGAACTACTTATTTTTTCAGTATAATCTGATTCATATGACCATTGAAGTGAGGCACCACATGCAAACTTGAGTTTGACATTTTTCCTATGACTATCTTCACAAATAGAATGAGTTTGAATTTACAGAAGTGAAAAAAGTTAGATCCAAGTTAAAAGTCATTCTCTATTAATTTTGCTTTCAAGGGGAAAAAATTGGTTTACTTCTTTGTACAGTTGCTTTGCTAGTTTTTTTGTTAATGTGCTTGATGCAGAGTGTTTCCTTGACTATTTGAACTGATATCAGAGGATCATTTTTCTAGTCTCTTGTGAATTAGCCATAAATTACTTGTGAATTAGCCATAAATTAATGTGAACATTTTGGAGAGTACTTGGGTTTGAAAACATGTCAGCACTGTGATGACTCATGCTCAACTGTCTTACGTTATTTCAATCTTGGATCTTTCACTAATGCTACTATTTGAAGCAGCTTGGGATTCTTTAAACATCATATCCATTGCAAAACCTTGGCATGAAATCAATATCAGAAATAATCTGTCGTAACTTTCAGTCAAAGAAGCCCAGAATCTAAAGAACCTGAGGATACTCACACAGAGGCAGAAGCAGTATAAGACACTAGCCTTACAAGCCAAGAAGGAAGGAGATATGGGTGAAGCCATGAGACTCCTCAAACTAGCAAAGGTATATAAACATGCACATGAAATCACTGGTGTACTTGAAACCCTTTTGATATAAGGCAGTGTTCTCTATTCCTCATAACATGTTAGTAGACTCATAGTTTAAGCCAGTAATGAAGAATTGAATATTGTTGTGCAAGGGTTGCATCTAGAGCTATAAGAACTGTCAGCAAGGGTTTGATTCTCACATTTGCTTACTAAGGGGATATCAAAGGGCAAGCTTTGTGGGCCACATGAAAAAAGAGACTGTTTATTATGTTGATCATAGCTTGTAGAAATTGTGGAGTACATTGTTAAGCTTTTAAAGGGAATCCTAGTTTTCATCCTTCTGGTGAAAAAGGAAGTGCAACTGCAGTTCCTTTGAGTTTGATACATGCAGTACATTTTGGTTGTCTTGTTGAGTGATTGAGTCTTTTGGGCCTCATTTCTACATTTGTTTATTTGTGATTGGCAGGGCTTTGATTCTATGATAACAGCGAGTGAGAATGGTCTACCTGTCAATATGGAATCTGTAAGTTCAGTAACAACTCCCTGTCCTCTTATCATGTATTGTTGTTAATCTTTCATGTGTCATTGGCACATAAAGTACTGATTGTGTGGTTCTTATTAGACAGTAATCTTTCATGTGTCATTGGCACATAAAGTACTGATTGTGGGGTTCTTATTAGACAGTAATCTTTCATGTGTCATTGGCACATAAAGTACTGATTGTGTGGTTCTTATTAGACATTAATCTTTCATGTGTCATTGGCACATAAAGTACTGATTGTGTGGTTCTTATTAGACATTGATAAATTCCTCAGTTTACTCATTTCTGTTGGTTGAGAGACTTTGTCATGGATGGTGATTGAAAAATCTACCTACTGGTCTCAAACACTTTTCTGAAATTTGTGTTACGGTTTCACTCTTATTTTTATGGATTTGAACCATTATACATGACTCACTGACCTAATAATTACGAGACAGGCATGCGCATTACAACCAGTAAGTCTGTACGTGTATAGAGCCAAAACTTCACCCATGCCAGCACCGCTGCATTCTGTACCCCATTGAATGTCATATCCCAATGTCCACGTAAGGTGATTGTAGTAACTGCATGAGGGAGGCATGTGCCATATATGTGTATATGTATGTGTACATGGGTGGCTTGAAGGGTGTTTCATAATAAGGTTAATTTCATGGACAATATTGTGGGAAAAATATTAATTTTTGATTGGACTTTCGGGCAATGGGGATGGAAGTGTGATCTAGCAATTTTGAACAAGTAGGTTTGAGATAAGCTTGGGTTCCTGCCTCTGATAAAGGGCCTCGTCATCAGCCTAGCCCTTTATTGTCTCCATTATTGTTTCCATCCGATGTTTAATCAATTTTTTATTCAGGAATCTTGAAATTAAATCTCTAATCTAAAACCAACTAGGTACATTTTGTTAGGAGGTGTATTTCTGTAGAAAAAGACCACTTGTACTGTCATCTGTTAAGTTCCCACACTTAATTTAATTTCTGCTTATCCTGTTACCATGCCCTCTTTTTAGATACCACCTTCTCCAACTCAGCAGCAGTTTTCAGTTGAAGATGAGAGAGAAAGAATGATATGTGACCCACCAGCAGGTGAAGAATTGTCAGCAGAAGTACTTGCTGACAGCAAACAGCTCTATGCCCGTCTGATGGCCACCCTTAACAAACAAATTCAGGTTGATATCATGTTTAAAATATTTTGCCAGTGAACTTAAGGGGCACTTACTGTTGCCGGAACGTAGCCATGTTTAGTCCCATTTCCAATGACCAAATTTCTTTCTATGTGTTGAAGTAAAATTTACCTTGAGATACATGATGAATGTTATAACAAACTCTGTGGAATCCATTGTAGCACATGCTCAGACTGATGTTCATGCTCAAAGATGATATTTGCACTTGCCTTTTGGCAGTGAAATATGTTATCTGAGATATTGCCACTTAATGTGGCAATAAATTTTGTATGGAAATAAGAGCATTTGAAATGTCCATTGGAGCACACATTGACTGCTGAAGCTATTGTGTTAACTGAGCCATCTAATTAATCATAAGCAAATTCTCTGACATGACAAATGTGTGTGGGCAGCATTGTGTCGTTCCCATATAAATGCATGCAGTGTGCATATGAAGCCATCATGTGAACAGAACCAAACTTATCATTGAGAAGTAGAAAACTTTGCTGGAGATACAATTATGTACAAGTTTTTCTGCTCTCAGAACTGTTGTCCTGTGGATGATGGCCATCAAAGCCTGCAGGTTACCAGGGAATGTTTCCTTCTTGGACGTTATACACTTGTTGCCTGCTATGTAGGGGTCCATGGTTTTTTGCACACTCTTGGGGCAAATGGCACCCAAGGCAAAGGCAACGATCGCTTTGTTACACCATGGTAACTAAGGGTAGGAATTTACATTAACTTGAAAAATGTTAGAAAACTTTCCCTTTTCCTACCCTTACCGCAGTGTCATTGAAAACTTTCAATACAACAAATTGTTTACAGTGTAAATAATTGACACAAAGTTCTGGTGATGAATTCTCGGTATTCCTTTGATATGACCGAGCAGTAATGTGTTTCGAAAATCAGATTACATTTTACAGGGATTGTTTACGTTAAAAATGAATGCTAGATTCAAATTGTCAAACCTCTAAAAGGGGCGGTTTTGTTTAAACGTCCCACCCTAAACGGTAACAGATCTTACAAATACAAGGGGACAAACAGTGCATTTCATTAATAACTCAAATCGTCTTCACCAGTATGGCATCTATTTGAACAAATTTAACTTAGTGGAATAATTGGCATGGATGGACTATCTTTTGTCTTTACATTTCTGAAGGAATTTTCAGAAAGTGTTGTGTTTCTTTATTGGGAAACATCTGAAACGGCAGAATTTCCACCATATCGCCTGTGGCAATGCAGAATTCAGAACCACCATATTTGTACTCAAGGAATATTCCATTTTGGTGCTGATGCTGTTTTGCACAGGAATCAAAGTTGATTTTGGAATGGGAGAATAATCTCTCTTAAAAACCAACCTGCTGTCATGTTGATGTTATTGTGATGAAATTTCAGTTATTTGGCCCAGTTAAAAACACAATCACACAATGTAAAAAACAATTAGTGATCCTAGCAGAGAAAGTGCTTCACTGTCCCCCACATTACATCGCATATATATATACAAACTAACTGTAAGGTGTCACATGAAATTACAGACGGTTCAGGCACCGGGCCAGGTATGCTAATCCCTTCCACCCCAATCAGCATGAAGTCAGATGCAGCGTGGTAACTAAAGTGTAATTGGTGACCGAGGGTTTGAACGATAGGCAACATAAGCCCTTTTCACACTTGTCTAAATTTACCTGGATAATTGACGACCTGGGTGAGGTTGGGTGATTTTTTGAGATGCGGTCTCTATCTTCTAAAGATCTTCAGAGTCTTGGCCACCCCAGCAACAAAACGTTTCTCCTTTTAAGCATTTCTTTATTCATGGACTTGTAATACTATGTTCTCAAAATGGGTCTTGCATTTTATTTCAGATTTGTGCCACAAATGAAAAACAGTACATGCAACTAGGAAACCTCTCAACATCAAAAAGGTATGATTGTTGATTCTCTTGGAATGGACAGATTCAACAGTGATGTATGTTCACAGGTAATAAGAATCCTATTTTATAGCATTTAATTAGTTTTTCATCTATTTCAACTTCCTTGCTTTGCACGGAAACCTTCCTGAATCCTCCAAAATATCCCCCATGTTACCATTAGCATATTCTTTGTGAACTTAATTTCAGTGAGTGTTTGAGTGACATGTTGGTAGCATAATTGACCTTAATTTGGACTATGGAAGATCTCAACATTGATAGATATATCTGTGGACTTAAGAATTGGAATCATTTTGTTTTGCATGGTAGATTTGGAGAGATGAAGCACAGCTGTCAACAGGACTTAGATGTTCTTACAGTGTCTATGTCACACTCAGACCCTGTCCCTAGATTCCACTATGAGACACGTACAATCCCATCTATCAGGTTAGTCTTACGATGTCAATAGTGGACTAGTTCATGACAACACTCAAATATGGTTGAGTAGGTAATGTGATTGTGATCAGAGGAACGAAGAAGGGATTTCAAGCTATTCAGTCTCCTGACGACGGACAGAGCACACTGTCCGAAACGTTGAGCCTCTCCGGTTCTTATCAGAACCACACAGACTCAAAAAAAAAAAAAAGAGATATTGCATGGTGCTTACCGCAAGCTTTCCATCTTAAGAACGAAGAAGCTTTTTAATTACTTTCTGAAGCCAAAATATCAGTCTTGATGTTTTTGTGATTGGTACAGTATTTGTCTTCTTAAATACCAACTGAGGTGTACACGTAGCTCACTTGTTAATGCGCTTGGTACAAAAGTCAGCTTTGTAAACTTCTTTTATTCTTTTATGTAATTTTTTTGTAAAATTATTTTGTTATTCTGACTTCCAAAAATCCTGTCTAGTTGGGATTTTCAATTATACAGGTTTTGCTTTGTTTTATAATTTGTTTTATTGTTTTTTCCAGAGTTTGTCCTGACCTAACAGATACAGAAGTTGAAGTTAGCGTTATCAAAGGGATTCAGTTGAAACTTCCATCAGGTGAGGAAATAAGATCGCCAATCATCCAACAGTTCTTGGACTAGATCTATGCACAATGTGAAAGCAAAACTGCCACTATAGGACTGTAGAGTTAAATTAGCTTTGAGCACCAGTTGGCTACACAGTCGGATGCCCTCATTACTGTGATTACTAGTTGAAAACATGGAGGCACTTGTAAAACACTTGCTATTTAATGATTCCCTTGGAAAGTGGCCTACATTATGTGACTTTGGTACACTGAGAAATTAAAGAGCCAGATATTATTTGGCATCCTGTCTTTGATTTTTGGTTATAAATCTACTTGTTGAACAGGGCACTTACCATATTCCCTCAGGTACATGTATCTGATATCTAAATACTTGTAACTACCTTATAGTGCTTTTGGCATTTGGGTTCCTTCCTCCAATTTGAAGTCACAATGTAGTTATATACATTCAGCTTAAAATTGTCATTGGAGATGTAGAAATACATGTACTTGTACACTGTAATGCAGCACTCTTGCAGAAGAGCAAGTGCATGTAAATGATGGGCCTTTATGTTCCTTTCATGTTTTGAGTTTTGTATCACCATTAATAGCAAAGACTGAATGTCCCCCTCCTAAGTCAAGGCTAGTGCTGGACAATGTTGATTAAACATAAAAAAAAAGATGTATTAAATACTAGATCACCATCATTTCTACTCATGTACAAATGTCAGTTGAATGAAATAAATCAGAAAATTAAAGAATGAAGATTAAAACTTCCTCTAAATAAACATAATCTGAAGAAAATTATGTAAATACATTTCATGCAATTCTTCCTTTTTACTAGGAGAAAAAGATCTCGACACATATATCAAGTTTGAGTTTCCATACCCAAATGTAAGTACTGTAGACTTGAATTGGAATTACTGCTTACTTGCATGCGTCTTTTCAACTTTTCTTTTCACATTTTGCCTGCTTTGACATTCACATTGTATAACTTGGACACATAGTTTGGCTTCTGATGCATGGATCTATAGAGTGGTAACAAAGCCAGAGAAATGTGTGACAGAAGGTCCCTTCATTTTCACTTCCTACTTTACATTTAAATTATTTTTAGATCTTTTTATTTTTTTGCAATAAACTCAAAGTCTGATACATTTTTTCATGTTGAGCTAATCACAGCAGCAGAACCTGCTAAAGTACCTCTTCTACTTAAGCCCCCAAATAGTGAAAGTCAACATCAATACTTAACATGGTTGTTGTTGGCTAGAGGCGTATTGTAAGTGTTGGTTGATATTTCACTGTGTAAATTACTGTCAGTTTACTGCAGGATAATGAGGATAACAAAACTTTAATTTTAAAGAATTTATATTTAATTTCCTTTACTAAAGTTAATGTGTTGTCAGTTTTTTTGCAAAATGTGTTCTGGGAAAGTAGCAGTCCCATTGTTTTGGAATGGTAAACCTTAATCACTCCATATCTTTTAAGATTCAAAAATTTGAAATTTTGAAAATTCCAAAGTTTCTTTACATCAGTGGTCTAAAAGTTAAGGTAAAAAGAGGTAGCTGGGCACCTGCAACAGGGTAGGATTTTGGTGGATACCGGAACCTACCTGACAAGAGTAATGAATGAATTGGGGTTAAGCATTACTTTAATAAATCAATGCACAGTTGATAATAAAGGTTTCATGGTGGTTTTGTTGTTTTGAAGGATGAACCTCAAACTGGCAAGACAGGCTGGAGCAAGGGCTTTGAGATGGTGGAATATAATGACTCCACCAAGCTGAATATTCAACGCAACAGATCCTTTGCATCATGTGTGAAAAGGAGGTCTATCAGATTTGAAGTCTACTATGGGAGAGGGTTTCTACGGAGTGATAAGCTGTTGGCACAAGCAAGTCTAAAGTTAGCTGACTTGGAAAGTAAATGTGAAATACATGAAAGTGTCCCTGTGAGTATAGATAATTTAATAGTAAGGACCTTTAGGCAAACTTGAGCCTAACCATACAAAACATTATTAATAGTTATATTTTGTTTGGATATGGCCAAATGTTTGAGGTTCCCTGGAGTTACTTTTGAATGTGTTATGGAATGGTTGGGACTTGTTTGTGGGTATCAAACCAGGGCATGTTGAGAATCCTGCAGTTGGCATGGCATGGATCTCAACAAGAAGGTAGATGAGTTTATAGATTCCTCGCAGATTTAAATCAGTTGCTTCTTGCATTGAAGGGGCTCTGAAATAAGAAAAGTGCACAAATGGTGACTGCTTTGTTAACTTATGAAGGCATGACTGATTTATGGCAGAGAATATACGTAGGAGTTAATCCATGTCATTGGATGTCTGCCCACAGTATACTGGGAAGGACAGTACAGTCGATACCCTGACCAAACTTTTAATTTGTTGGTGACAACATGACAACATGCGCTTATAGTTTGTTGTAAAAGTTATGATATCATCTGAGAGTTGAACTGAGGAGTCAGCCATGTTGAAATTGAAAGTGAGGGTTACATTCATTTTTGGGAGCTTGATACAGTAGCAATAAAATCAAATTTCATGACAAATTAGTACTTGTCTAGACTCTTATAAATGATTTGTAATTTGTGATCAAATATACCTTTGTGTTTTTAGTCAGATTTGAAAAATTTAGAAAGGGAGGCTTGGAATGCAGTTGCAAAATAGTCTGGTACTATTCAACAGCTTTATGATTTATAAAACACATTCAGGGAACAAGATTGAAAAGGGTCCCTCTCCTGAATATTAAAGGTCTATTATACTGTGAATCCAATCAACATTGAAAAACTATATATTAATGACAAAGTTGAGAGATAACTGATGTCTCTGCCATTTGAATGTCTCATTTGTAATGAAGTTATATGATGGCCGCAAGCCTACAGGAGGAAAGCTTGAAGTCAAAGTACGTGTGCACCATCCAGTGAGTGGAGTCAAGGAAGATCAAATCAAGGAAAAATGGTTGGTCATCAATAGTACACACAAAAAGTCATCATATGTGAGTATTCAGAAGAGCTGTAGACGTGTTCCAAACCTTGGAGTCATTGTCAGTGGTCGCTTCATTTGTAGTTTAAGAATTCTTTAAAAACTGTGAATGTCCAAATTAAATGGAAGTGTTGTAAATTGTTGCCTCAAGTTAAAGGATTTGATGTTTTGAAGCAAAATATAGACCTGTGTGAGGGGAATCTCTGATGTAAAGGAGCCTAAAATTACGTGTAGTTAAAGTGGAAGAAACGAGTGTTAAAAACCTCTCAGTAATCAGCATTCAAGGAAAGGAGTGTACAGGCAAAAAGCTG